AAATGTGCATTTAGTGGTTCATTATGTTTAAATAGTTCTTAATGAACAATACACAAACAATCCCACCTGTTATATATTTACAGAATTGTTTGTTAGAGTGATACATTTGTTATTACAATTGGTTTGCCAAAACGGAAATTACTTATGAATCAACTTTATATATATATATTGGTCTGGTTTAAATCCTGACTTGAGGCTTTCAGACATCTAGTTGCACTGAAGAGCTGTGATACAGCAAAACAGTAGTCTGTGAATGACATACTTTATATATATATATATATATATATATATATATATATATATATATATATATATATATATTTAAACATTATAACATCACTACAAAAATGGCCATTTGTTTCAACACTTTTAGTGTCTTGTCAATTGATGGTGTTGCAAGTAAAATAAAGAGTTCAAAAAGTTTATTTTACTTGCAACACCATCACTTGATAAGACACCCGAAATGTTGAAACAAAATGGCCATTTTTGTAGTGATGTTATAACATACATATGTCATAATTTTTAAACAAATATTATTTGCTCTACCCTGTATTGAGCACTCACTTTTTTTTTAAAATAGTGTTTTTTGGTTACTGGAAGTTTATTCCATCTACACCAACCATGTATTCAGATATATATATATATATATATATATATATATTTTAAGACATTTTTATGTTTAACATTCTTTTTATAGATACAAATATTTAAGTAAATGCACTGTTTACAATAAACAACATTTACTGGCTTGAATGTCCGATAAATTTTCACATAAAATATTCGTCCTCCGACAGGATTCGAACCTGTATCCTATACGGAACCATCATTTAGCTTGACGTGCATTTACCGATTTGGCCACGAAGGAGCATTCAGTTAGCAAGGTCGATTTTACTGCTTTTAAACTTCAATCTTCCATGAATCTCTCACATACATTCATATCTGCACATGGCGTGTCAAATGTAAACAAATGACATCACACATTATGAAATGGACAATGTCTGACAATTATTTTAAGACATTTTTATGTTTATACATTTTTTTATAGATACAAATATTTAAGTAAATGCTCTGTTTATAATATATATATATATATATATGTATGTATATATATATTTTGTGTATATTTTAGCAGCATGTTTTCATTGAGAGATGTTTCATTGAATAACTTAGACAAGTTTGGTCTTCTTATCTTCAATTGGATCCTTTCATATTTATCGACATGGTCATTATTAAAGGAAGAGAGAAAATTACTGTTTTGTTACATATTATTTTACATTCAACATAGCACAATGTTATCATCAGGGTGTTCTTTTATTTCGAGACAAATACTGTAGTGTTCATCATTTTCAAAGACAAAATTGCTGTGTTCATCTGAAAGTTAAAATTTTTTTACTTGTGAAGTCAAGAACGCTGAGTGGAGTACTGTAATTGGCTTGATTAATGCTTCAGGGGAGGTAACTAAGTAGGGTGTTGTTGAGAGTTTTTTTTTTTTAGGAAATACATATTAAAATATTAGTACAAACCTCGATACTGTAAACATTTTAAAACATTTGTATAGCATTCATAATTTTAAGGTTTGGATTCAATTTTTTAATATACATAGCTTCAAGAATTTGTTTATGCTTATATTCATGAAAAAGTATAGATGTATTTTCAACAATGATTTTTCTGAATAGTATGTTGTTGTAAATGTTTAGAAATGTTGGACACATGATTCAAATAAATACACAGCTGCAAAGACAACACTATACTTAGTTACCTCCCCTGAAGTGTTAATCTTAAATAAAATAATATGTATCAACATAGTAATTTTCTCTTTTTCATTAATAATGACACCAAAAAGTTTATCTGTGAATATGAAAGGAATCAAATGGAAAAAAGTAGATAAAATTTATCTAAACTATTCAATGAAACATGTCTGCCTCTTTCTCTCTCTCTATATATATACATATATATATGTTTAAAAAAGACATTTACATACATTTAAAGGTAAAGGGGTGTTTGGCAATCCATATGGATAATTCCAGGGAGGATATAATCCAGAGAGCTTAATGTAAAAACAGAGCAAATATCACCAAGGACCCTTAAAGTTGTCTGTTTCTTAATATAGTCATAATATATATATATATATATATATATATATATATATAGGGGGGAAATAAATATTCGTACACTTGAAAAATTGTATTTTTATAAATGTAAAATCCTTAAATAAAACAAATCTTGGCACATTTTATGTATAAAGACACATACTATTAAAAAATAATAATAAACTTAATTCTTATTCTAGCAGAAATTAATGCATTTTTTAATTCTAACTGGTGAAAAATGTATTCGTACAAATCAATTATTAGAATAAAATAATCAATTAATTATGAAAAAAGTATATTCTAGAATGTTCCAGTAATGTTATCAGTAATTATAGTTAACGCTATTAGCCATTATCAGAGCATTGTGCAATTTCTAGTTTTTACAAGAAGGTTCTAATAATGCCTAAAGGTAAAGAATTGACTATTTCACAAAAACAACACATTTTGTCTCTTTGGAAAGATGGGAACAGTTACAGAATGATTTCTAACAACCTGAATATTCCTTTTACTACAATTGCTTTGTTCATTGCAAGGTTTAAAACTCCTAACAGCGTTGAAAACCAAAGATGAACAGGTGCTCCAAGGTAGATTTCTCTAAGATCAGCATGGATATTAGGATACCAGATCCAACAAAATCCACAGGTTACCCGAGAAGAGCTGCAGGAACATCTGCGTGCATTAGGGATTAAAGTAACCAAGCATACAATAAGTAATGAACTACACAAAACAGTCTGAAATCACGCATCCCAAGGAAAACTCCACTCCTCTTGAAACGACACAGAGATGCTAGGCTAAAATTCATTAGAGAGTATAAGGATAAAGAATATTCATTTTGGGAAAAAGGACTATAGACAGATGAAACTAAAATAGAGTTTTTTGGTCATAATTATCGAAATCATGTGTGGAGGAAGGATGGTGAAGCCTACTTACCAAAGAACACGTTGCCAACTGTAAAGTTTGGTGGTGGCAGTATCATGATCTGGGGCTGTTTTTTCTGCAAAAGGTGTTGGCAGAATATCAATAATAGATGGCAAGATGAATGCCAAAAGATATCAGAACATCCTGCAAGACAATTTAATGCGTTCTGTTGAGAGACTTCGGCTACCTTCTAATTGGGTTTTCCAACTGGATAATGATCCTAAGCATACCGCTAGATCTACAAGGAAATGGTTAGGTGAAAGTAACGTAGATGTCTTGCAATGGCCAACTCAGTCCCCAGACTTGAACCCAATTGAGAATTTATGGCGATATTTGAAAATTCAAATTGGGAAAAGAGCACCAACAAATATCAAGAATTTGAAGACAATATGCCAAGAAGAATGGGACAAGATACCACTCAATGTGTGCAAATCATTAGTTGAGACGTTGAACTCAATGAAGGATATTCCACAAAGTATTAAATTAAGTTAATATGCTTTTTTTGTTTTGTACGAATACTTTTTTCATCAGTTAAAATGAAAAAAATGCATTAATTTCTGTTAGAATAAGAATTAAGTTTATTACTATTTTTTAATAAAATGTATCTTTACACATAAAATGTATCAAAATTTGTTTTAGTTAAGGCTTTTACATTTATAAAAATACAATTTTTCATGTGTACGAATATTTATTTCCGCCCACTGTATATATATTAAAGACATATTATTTATATATATATATATATATTTATTTAAAAAAGACATAAATACAGACACACATATATATGTATGCATATTGAATACAGACATACACACACATATATTAAACATATATTTTATAAATATATTAAATACATATTTAATATATATCAAGGCCAAGTCAAGATCAATAGTTTTGATTATACTGCTGTTGGGTTTCCAGTGACTGTGGTAGACAGAAGACAGCTAGTTCTCACTCCTTCTTTCCAAGCATCCCTGTCAAGCTGGCTAATGTGGGCAAGGTCGCAATCTCGCACATCTCTCCCAATGCAGTCCTTCCATGTTTTTCTAAGTCTACCTCAAACTCTGTGACCAGGAAACGTGAACTTTGAGACAGTTCTGATGCATGATGAAGCTCGTTGGATGTAACCAAACCATATAAGACAATGTGTGCGCAGCACTGATTTAAATATATATATTAAATACATATTTAATATACATATATCAAATATATACATACATACATATATATTAAATACATACATACATACATATATATTAAAAAACATACATACATACATATATTAAATACATACATATATATATATTAAATACATATATATATATATAAATACATACATATATATATTAAATACATACATACATACATACATTAAATACATACATATATATATATTAAATACATACATACATACATACATACATACATATATATTAAATACATACATACATACATACATATTAAATACATACATATATATATATATACAATTAAATGCATTAGTTGCTCATCATAACAAAACTGATCACAATTTTGATTTAAAAAATGCTATTCTAATAAAGAGAAAACAATTTACTAACATGAAAATGTTTAGAAAGTGCTTTAATTGCCAGATCATCCACATTAAATTTGCATCCAGGTTCTTACAACGTTTCACAATTCTTGGTAGAATTTCTATTATCACAATGTGGGGTGGGTGGGTATTTAATAACAAAAGTGACGGAAACAAAGTAAAAAAAAAAAGAATCTAAATGAAATCAGCTACCCAAAACACATAAAAAAAAATAATATTTAAAAATTTTAAGTTCTCAGTGTCTCTCGTTTCATGTCCATGTGTAGTCACATCAGTGTAAATATAAACTTGGTCTGATGAAGTCCCAAAGGACGAAACATGTCACACAAAAACCTTTTCAACTTTCTCATGCATATTTTCCCTAAAACTGTTCTTGATATATAAAAAATTTATGTATCGTTTCCCATATATATATAACTTTATTCCACGGTAGAGTTTGGCATCTGTGGGGTGTTAAGAATATTGCTATCAACAGGATCAACAACATCATCAGCATTTCCACTCGTCACAATTTGAGTATTTGAAACTGGCTCAAGCTGTTGTGTCTCTCCTGCCACATGAACAACAACTCCAGAGTCTTCAACTCGAACAACTGGGTTACCATTTTGTGAGGGTGCCTCTGGGACATCAAGAGGAAGACCTTCTGGCCGTGGGGCTTCTGGTTCTGTCTGTGCTGGGGATGGAGAAGTTGGTGGTGGGGGCAGCTGTGGTAGTGGAGGGAGGAGTGATGGCAGGGTGCTGCTGCCAGCTGCAAAATGGCGTCCGGATTGTTGTATCCTTTGTTGCTGATATGTGCCTGGCACGAGGCAGCTGAACTTGTTGTAGCGCTTGTGTCGGGCTAGGTTCCCATTCCGGGAGAATGCAAAGCCGCAGACATCACATTTGTACGGCCTCTCGCCAGTGTGCGTCATCTTGTGCACTTTGGCATGAGACTTTTGGCCAAACATGCGGCCGCAGATGTCGCAGCCAAATGGCTTTAGCCCGAGATGGGCACTTTTGTGGCGCTCAAGGTTGCCGTTTCGGGGGAATGTGCGCCCACAGAGCTGACACTGGTATTTGTGTAGGGCGGCTGCAGCTGCTGCTGCACTTATTAACCGCTTTTTGGATTTGGTAGGGTGCTGATAAGGAGACTGGTGGTGATGGTTGTGGCTGGTATGAAAATGTGAGTGTTGGGATGGTATCTTGGCAGTGTTGTTAACCAAACGTTTCCAGCAGGTTTCACAGTAGAGAGTACTTCCCTCTTGATCTCGACTGGGAACAAATGATTTACTACAAACAGTACATTTGTAACTCTGTTGTTGTTGTTGCTGTTGCTGTGTCTGTTGATGATGATGGTGATGATGATGATGATGATGGTGGTGGTTCTGGTGATGCGAGTTGTTTTGATGGTTGTGATGATCTGGCTTCGGCTTTTCAGCTGCACTGTAATGCGTCTTACTGTCCTCTTTGCAGTCAGACTCACTGTGGCCATTATGGTTGTACTGGTTTTCATTGGCAAAAACCTCCTGCCTTTGGTGAGTGCGCATATGTCGCGTTAAGTTCCCGTTCCGTGAGAAGCAGTAGCCGCACACGTGGCACTTGAACGTCTGCTCTCCAGTATGCGTGTTCCGGTGAACTTTTAAATGAGACCGTTGAGAGAAGGCTTTGGGGCAAAGGTCACAACTGAATGGTCGGTCCCCATCATGCGTTCTTCTGTGTCGGTCGAGGTTACCTTGGCGGGGAAATGTTTTGTGGCAAATTTCACAGCTAAAGCTCCTCGAACCTCCACTGTTAGATGATGAAGAAGAGGGGGCTGATACGTGGGGATTACTACTTGATCCTATGATACTTCCAGAGGTGGAAGGTATGGTGGACAAGCCGACCGAGGCAGCTGTTAATGAAGAATACATTCCTTGAGCTGTTAAAGGCATTGAATAGGAAGTAAGCATATAATTCATTATCACTTGCTCAAATGGAGCTTTTTTGTTTTTTTTAGTAATCCATGTAAACAAATAATGTCTATATTTTATATATTATGTATGTTATTTTATCTATGTATTATTCTATTAGAGTGATGTATATATTTATACTATTTTATCTCTCTGTTGAACCAGGACTTCCCAAAGCGTGTGTGTATATGTGTTGGGAGACACAGATATTTGAGGCAGGGATGTCATTGTATTAAAATCATTGTTGTTAATTGATTTATAGAGACATTCTTCATAATTTAAAGCTTATTTTCATCAAAAATCAAAAATGAGCCAATTTGTTTTCTTTTGTTTTTTTTTTTAGAGACAAATCTGTAATTTCTTTCATGCACAATATCAATCAAATTCTAAATGCAAGTTCTGTAAAAACAAGACAAGTTGAATTCAGACAAAATCCTGAGAGTAATTAATAAATAACGGTTGTATTGAATAATAAAATAAAAATGACTGATTTAATTGCCTCATGATTTCATATATATTTTTAGACTATTATCTTCAGCTTTGTTGCTTTTTTTTATTTTCGTTTTTTTCATTTATTATTTTTGTTTTTTGTCATTCATTATATTTTTTTTTCATTCATTATTTTTTAATTTTTTCATTCATTATTTTTTTTCATTCCTTATTTTTATATAATTCAATGCAGTTTATACATGAAGCACATATTACAGCATATCATCAACAAAATTCTAATAAATTGGTTATATGAACATACGGTGTAGAATCTATTTTGTAAATCTGCAAAAACTGGGATGCATTTTAATTGATTATTTGTTAATAATAATTACTTTAATATTTATTAATAATAAAATATAAATAGCCAGAGAATCTCAAATTAATATTAATTTATTTTGAATATATCTATATGATAGAATTTGTTGCATCACTAATTCTTTCTCTTTAATAATTCTAGCATTTTACAAAGTGATATTAATTTTTTTGCCATTTTTCTAAGTAAACAATTCTACATTTTTACAGATTGATATTTCCTTTAATTTTTTCTAATTTAATAATTCTATTTTGTTTGATAAAAGGATACTAATTCTTTTACTGTGTTTCTCAGCAAAGAATTCTATCTTTAGCGAATAAATTTACTATTCAAGAATTTCTTTCAAAATTCAATTATCTATTTTAAAAGATGAGAAAACAGATTTAATACTAAGTTGACTTAAACATATAAAGGTAAATTTATAATATTTTAAAGATTTCTTTCAAACTTGTAATGTTTTTAACATTTTTATTTATTTATTTAGGAAATCTCATTCTATCTTTTAAATACTTAAGACATTATTCTCATCTTTCTTTAGTGATATGTGTTCAATGGTTTTTTTTTTTTTTAATAATTTTCACATTTTGGTTAGCTAAATTTAAGTTTCAATTTCCAAGAAGACTTTTGTTGTTATTTCCTTTCATTATATTATATTCATTTAATACAGCTCCTTGTTAATATTTCAAGAAATTAATGTTTGGTTCATAATTTTTACTTGAGGAGTAGACAGTAAAATAAATTAAAAACATCTACAAAATTCAGTTTTGCCTTCAATTTAACTATTGCATTGTTGAATAATAATAATCTTCTATGGCACTTTTGGTAGGAAGCAACCACAGTAATCATACTTACATTTTTTTTTAGTTCTAAATTGTAGATTAAGTGAGGAGTAGATTAAATGTAGCTAAATCAAAATGGATTGTATTTTTGACCAATCAGAATTAAGGGTTTATGGTTGCTGTCAAATACTGCAAAAAAAAATTTAAAAAAGGATTTTTTAACACAAACTCTCTACTGATGTAAGTGGTCAAGAATTACAAAACAACTTTTGATCTGAAAAATAGCCAGTGACAAATAAACAGAGTTGTTTTAGTCCATGAAAAGTAAGTATTTATCTGCACATCCATGTCACAGAATGTAATACAAGATGGGAAGCCATTCTAAAACTGCTCAAGTACCATTTATTACCTCTAATTCAGAAAGGTGTTTGGAGTTGTTTTTTTGTTTTTATCTTTTAAAGAAATAATTGTTTTACTTGAATTTTATATTCAGGTAATAAAAATTATCGACTTACATATCTGTGTGTGTTGTCTCAAATCAGACTATCACTCTCCATTTGTTTCCCTTGGATCAGTGTGTAGTATCTGTACAACCTTTGAAAATTGTTACACACATGCAATATATAGTGATTGCTACTTCTTGGCAGAAAAAGGCTATCTCTTCAATTTTATATTGAGTAAGCATATAAATGACTCAAAAGGCTTGCTTGCTTCACTTCTGCAGGTTTTCCTGCATATATAGCAGAAAGCATGGTCTTTGAACTTTCATCTGACTCTTAAGACCTGCTGCTGACCCACATACTTTGTCACAAATACATTTCCTGTAAGTTGTTGTAGATGTAGTCTGCTTGGAATTGCTTACTGTCATGAGATCTTAAATGACCAGCAAGACTTGCTTGGATAAGAATACCTTACCACAGATGTTGCATAGATGCTCAGACTGAAAATATCTAGGACGGAGTTTACATTTTGTTTTCTAAGAGCCTGTTTCAATCAACCCTCTCTTCTTCAACACCTTACAACCATTGTTTGCCATTTTCCCCCATACAGACTAAAAACTGTGTGCCGTCTTAGAGTTTATCAGAGCCTTATTCACTTTATGCATCAGCATGAATATATGTATTGTATTTATATATGTAAATTATCACATATTTGTAAAGTATGTGATTGACAACAAGGGAGAAAAGTGTTTTCAGTCAACAATGTCCAGTGGAATTTGAAAGAATAGAGTTCAAAGTTGAAGTGACAAAATAGTGTAATGGTTGATGCTCAAGTTCAGGTCATCTAACATGGACGAACTTTAACTGCTTGTTCTATTTTTCTACCTTTTTTTTTTCTGGTTTTTGTTCCTTGTAAAAGTTAACATGTACATATCAAAGACAAATATCTTTCATCCTTTCCACTAATACAGTTGGTTTTAAGCTAAACATAATTCATGTTTTGATCATTTTTAATTAAGTGGCTGAATGGAATGAAAAAGCAGCCAATTTCATTTTTTTTTTAGAGACAAATCTGCAATCTCTTTCATGCACGTTTCAATCAAATTCTAAATGCAAGTTCTGTAAAAACAAGACAAGTGAAGTTGAATTCAAACAAAATCCTGAGAGGAATTAATAAATAACAGTTGTATTGAATAATAAAATAAAATTGACTGATTTGATTGTCTTTTTCACAATTTCATATATATTTTCAGGCTATTATCTTCATCTTTATTACTTTGATTTTTTTTTGAACACAGGCCAGTGTGTTCTTCATTCTTCCTCAGGTATGTTGAATTCTTCTTTTAATTTAGTTCTTCAAATTTTGTTAGAAAATGGATCAGAGGCTGAACAGCATAAGAATAAATAATAGTAACATCTGAAAAGTGTAATTCTGTTAACCAAGTGTTTTTTTTTCTTTTTTTTTTTTTTTTTTTTTTTAAAGATTTGTAGAAACTAACTGAGACAAAATCCCAAGGGATTTGTTTTTAAAAAAATTTAAACTGACCAATATCTGTAAACTGGAACAGCAGTCCAGGAAACATGGTTGAATATTATCAGCACACTTACTGATAAATTATAATAAGGAAGATGTAGTTTTTTTTTCCTTTTTGGTTTTAGTGATTATGAATCCAAATTTGATTCATGTAATATATGGCTTCATAAAGAATCAAGGCGATGAATGATTTTGTTTTCTCAGAAGTGATGGAACCTGGATCAAGTCTATGGAATCCGAGTCAATGAGTTCTTCTGGATTTAGGTTTATTTGGACTCTGAGAGTAACCAAGAAAGAAATCTGGCAATGATATTCAGTTCAATATTCACAAATTTGTACAGGGAATGGAAAATGAATGTACATGTCAGAAAAATGTGATTAATTAAAGAATTATTAACGTTTTGTAGAATTTGAGAAGACGATGAATTGTTGTGAGGAATGTAGACTTAGGTGGCGGCAGGGACATGAAGATTAGTTTTTGAGATAAAGAGAATGACATCGTCAGATCATTTCAGCTGGGGTAAAGCTTCAAGTCTGTGATGACGGCAGCATGCAGTGAGACGTCTGCAACAGGTACGGAATGCACTAGAAGGAACAATTCCCAAGAAAGATACAAGCAATGAACAAATATTTATTATAATAATAATGATAATTATAGTTGTTATCTAAACATGTTAAAATCATTAAGGAAAAAAAAAAATTTGAAAGGATGATTATATCCTTAAAGAGGAAATCTAATTTTTTTGTTTCTTTCAAACATTTAAAATTATCATACAGTCTTAGTCTAAACCAGAGCCACAGACTAATTTTGTTTTCACCATCATCCTGAGACCATCCCCAAAAACAAAGTAAATTTTATTAGACTTTAAGAATTCTGCTGAATGCATTTTTCTATTTAACGAAAATTTGTGTATTCCAACAATTCACAATCAAATAAGTTTTTAAAGACTTGATCAAAATATTTTTATTTACAATTATCTGTGTTATCATCTTTTAAATTTACAATTTTCTGTTATCTTTTAATTTCTTCCCTGTGTTTTCAATTTAGTTTATGATAAGCAGAAAACATAAATAAATGTTTGTTAAGGGTTCATTCAAGTTTTTTATCTAAATATAAAAATAATTTTCTTGCTTTGTTTATTAAAGCAAAATTACAATTAAATCTTCATGTCTGTCAATATTTCTGAGATGAAATATTGTAACTATTTACATTGTTCAGACTGTTGTCCTCATCTTTTTTGTTATACTCATGACGTTTTGGCTGTTGTATGCTCTGACCTTCTTCAGGTGATTTGAATTTCAAACTGAACCCTTTATTTTGTCTATATGGTGCAGTGTATAAAAGCATTGGTTGAAGTAATCCAGTGACTTGACCCAAAGAGTTGTGAGTTCAATACATGGCC